CCAGGCTGGTGTGGAATTCCCAGTTCCAAGCACTCCTCCCTCCTGAGCCTCCCAAAGCACTGGGATTACAGGCATGGGCTATCACACCCAGCAAGGCTAGTTTTTGGTGTTAAATTAGGCTGGACTTCAGCCAGTCAGTTTTACCTCTATAGATTTACCCTCTAGCTGTTTCCCATGTGAATTCATGTTAAGCAAATTTGGGCGGAGTTTCCTTACTGCCTGGGCAGGCTGTGTGTATGTTTCTGTTTCCCTTGACACCTCAGGGTCAGCTCGACAGAGAATGGTAGCATGATCCAAATTCAAGACATTGATGCTAATGCTTCATGCTGTTGGGAGCCCAGCCCAGCACTCCCCCGTCCCCCGCCCAGACTGCGTATCACCTACTCTCATTCTATTGCTTGAGGAATATAGATCTTCCAGATCAGAGATAACTCCCTTAAGCCACTAAGAGCTAAAGCCAGAGTCCCTTAAACCTATATCCTTGAGGCCCTGAGGAATTATGAGCATCAGAGAGGGGTCAGGTTGCTATAAATATGAATACAGAAAAGCAAAAGAGAATGTATGGGAGAGGGGGTGGGGGATCCATTCACATGGATCCCATTGGTTTTAGAGAGAACCAGTGTTAATATCGGTGTGCACTCGGGGGATGTCATAAGATGAAAGAAGGGCTTTGCACATGACCCGCCTCTACAGACACAAGTACAGAATGGGGAAAAGGCATTTATTCCACAGATATTTATTGCCATGTCCAACTCTGGGTCAATCATTACTCCAGGGACTGGGGAGGTGGCAGTCATGAGCAGACCAGACAGAAAGCTCTTTCTTTAGGGTCTACCTTACCTTCAGGAGGGCAGGGCTTTGGCAGCACATGTGAAAAAGTTGCAGTAGTTTTAACCTAAAACTGTGATGCAGGCTTTCCCAACTGTGGCGTGGTTGAGATTTTGGACTGGATCGCTCTTTGTTTTGGAGGACTGTCCTGTGTGCATTATAGGATGTTTAGCAGCAGCCCTGACTTCTACCCGTTAGATGCCAATCGTATCCCCACCCCACCCCCTAAGTTGTACAATTAAAACGTTTCCAGACAGTGCCAAATGTCCCCGGGGAGGATGAACTCACTCTGGCTGAGAACTATGGCTTAGCGGAAGCTCTCTTAGCCATATATAAGAAGGGGAAGGGCCTGCTCTGCCTCTGAGCTGGGAGACCCCCATCTCTGCTCTGAATGAGGATCCATCCTTCAGAGATGAACTGGGGCAAGTATGAGGTGAGCAAAATATCAAAAAGGACTTGAAACAGTCTCATTTGAAAAACAGCTAAGGCCAGGCGTGGAGGCTCACACCTGTAATCCCAGCACTTTGGGAGGCCGAGGAGGGCGGATCACGAGGTCAGGAGTTCGAGACCAGCCTGACCAACATGGTGAAACCCCGTCTCCACTAAAAATACAAAAATTAGCCTGGTATGGTGGCCTGTG